ATTAAATGATATTTGATGACACATTCGATCCGTAGCATGTCGAATTCTTTTCCAGATTGTTTTATATTTTTTTGTAAATGTCGCTATACATCTAATCATGAAATAAAGAGAATTATTCTGAGAATGAGAATAAGAATAGACATTAAGAACAGAAAATCATATGAGGATAACGATTGACACTTCAGGATTATACTTTTATTTTGATACAGTTCAAATATATTATATGCTATGAATAGATTAATGCAGATAAATCTTATGAATATCAGTATCTCATCTTCAAAATGAACAAAATCAATTGTGTTTAGTTAATAGATCTCTCTTATCATAAATCCTGGGTCTTTTCCAACATAAATAAAAATAATAAGAATGAAAATAAAAATGCATACACAGTTCTTTCAATTCATATTGTGTAAAAAATACAAAGAAATTGACTATTAAATAAATGAATTTATTCTATTAAACTTTTTATTCGAACGATATATTAAAATGAAAATAACTCACTGTAAAATGATGTCTATTTATCTTTTTATCTTAAAACACTACTAAAAGTTTATCATACAAAGAATAGAACTATGTACATTAGTGTCTATTTCATTTTCGTATTTATAATCGGCATAATTGATTTCTTGAAAAAATTCAATGTCCACCACCGAACAATTCACGAAGACCTGGATCTTTTTTGCATCTGAAAAGAAATTGTTTACTAAAATTTTTAACAAAATCAAAAAAAAAAAAACTAAACTATACCCTTTAATAAATTGTGCTTTATTTAATTTGTTTCCGTCATTAATACCAAGCGTATTAAATACTCCAATAGCAAGTTCTTTTGGATAATCAGGATCTGTTTTGCCTAGTTTACCTGCAATAGTTAACTAACAAACAAGGAACAAATCTAACTTATTCTTTTACAAAACTAAAAATATATTCATACTGAAGCTTTAAGAAAAGCAGCTAATTCTTGGAGATCCATTTCTCCGTCTCCTGAAACATCGCACCTATTATATACAATAATAATAATAATAATAAGAGATATTTAGAATAACAAGAACAATATATTTACATTTCAAAAACATAATTTAGATGACTATCTAAATCTGCTGGAGATCCTGTTGCAATAGCTAATAAAAACTCATGAAAATCAATTGTACCATCATGATTTTTATCAAACACAGCAAATACATGGCTTTAATTAAGAAAATGAAAAAAAATCAAGACTAAAGTTGTACTTATGCATTAAATAAGCATACTCGCATAAAATATTTGCTCGATCTTTTTCATCTTTAATTTCTTCATAATATTTTATAAATCCTTTTTTATTCATTCTACCAGATGGAAAATCATTCCAAAAAGCCTTGAAGAAAAAAAAAAACGAATAAACAAACATAAGATTTAAATAGAGTACATACAGCATATAAATCTATGATTTCTAAAAGAATGAAACAATATGATTGATAAATTTTTTTTGTCTAAGTTATTTTTCTCACCTTCTTCACTAAGTCTGGAACTTGCTTTCAACAAAGCAATAACTAAATAGAATTCTATTTAATTAAATCAATAAATAAACAAATCAAATGCAAACCTTGTGGAGTAAGTGCATTTGAGCTTCTACGTTTAACAATAATTCTATTACCCATAGATAGTTTTTTTCTCAAATGAGTAGCAATTTGACAACTAGAACGAACTTATTGATATAATTATGACAAAAGAATATAAGAATTATCATGATATACTATTAGGATTTTCTATCGAAAGAGAAAAAAAAAAACGGGGAGAAATAAACGATGATGCCATCGTGCACATCAAAGAACTGTCAATTTTTTGATCGATGTCTCTAGATGTTTTCTCTCTCGTCCTTTTTACATATCATTCAAAGTTAGTGAATAAAAAATTTGAAAGCACTCCATAACAAATAAATGTCGGCTTGGAGAAAGAGAAATTCATTGGTTTCTACATGATTGTTTATTGAATGGTGTTAGTCGATGTAATATAGAAATATTTTATAGATTATTGTTCGGATTTTGTCTTTTGACGATCTTCAAAGAGGCTTATTTTATTGATTTATGTGTTTTTTTTTCTTATTCATCAATTTGCTTTTTCTATAGTGAGACTTTTACTTCATATATGTGCTTGAATGTACATAGGGCAATAAAAGTTCTTTTTTCGTCGATTCCAATCGAGAAAAAGAACAAGACAAATCTAAATTGATTTATCAATACATAGTCACATATAGACATTATAAAATACAATTAACATGTAAGAAAGTCAAGAACGACAAACGACTTCTGTAGAAAAATAGATCACGAAAACATTATTGAGTATTTATATTGTAATATGAATGGTTGTTTCGACCTCATTCGGGCCTACATATTCAATATATGCTTCTTAAGAAAATTGTGCTATCTTTCTCTCTTATAAATTTATTAGATAATTTAATTATCAGGCATGTCCCGAGATGAGAAGTGAATATTAGAAATTGCCAGAATACAAATGAAATTGCCATATATTGAGACTGAATTATTTCCTGAATGAAGAAGGCCATAACATGAAGAAGTTAGAATCATTTCGACTAATCAAAATATAACTATCAATAAAATGTGAAACAAAAAACTAATAATGAATAAAGACCGATAGACATGATAAAGAAATTATTGTTTATAAGTATTTAGATAATCGCCAAATCTTTTTCAACACGAGAATTTAGTCTTTTTAAATCACATTTCAATAGATAACATAAGTATTCTACTCTATTCATCTTTTGAGCCAGTTGAATCTCGTTTATTGAACAAAGAATAACATTGGTGGCATAACACATCTTAAAGTAATATAGCAGAGGAATAGTTTCAAAATAGACAAAAAAGTGAATGATGAGCTATATACAATGAAATTTACATATTATAAAAAATTCATACAAAGTTATTTTTTGAATCACGAGTAATCTACAAACAATAGACCCAAATGATGACTATGGAATATGATTTTTAGGGCTAACTATAATGAGCGATTTTATACTACAATATATAAACTAATATTAAAGAAATCAAATTTACTAGTGAGACGATTGTAGTAATGAACAATAGTAGATTGTCATAAATGACTAATTATACTTTCAGATTGTTGTCTACAATATATAGCTCTTTTCAAAAATTCTCACTAGCAGCTATATATAGCAAAATAACTATCAAAGTCTATATATATGAAAGGTTTCTCATGTATACAATCTTTGGTGTATGATCTACGCAATACATTCAAATAAATCAAAACAAAGCCATCAGATGATATTAGAAGCATATCAACACTTTATTACCATTCGTAAAGAACTCTATTGAAACACATTGAATAACTGTTCAAAGGAATAAAAGAATTTCTATTATATTTGTATCATAAATATTAATAAATAAATGATACATAACACTTTTGTATTGTTGCTAATACTTAATCTTTTTGTTTAATAGACAAGCTTAAAAATGATAAATTACTATCGTTGATATTTGTTTTTTTTGTAGAACCTTATCAGATTTGAATGTATATAAATACTATCGAATAGAATATTCCTGTCATGACACATAACTATCTTCATAGTTTGTTCAGATTAGAAAAACTAATTTATCAAGTTTACATCGTTAAGTATTATGCTAATGATAAAATAATATTCGTCAATAAACAGATATCAGTTAATATTTCTCTATTTTTACATTTAAAATCCTTGTTACGGAACTAATTTAAACGTTTGATGTTACGAAGTTTTTCCTTTTTATTGATTGAAGTCCTTCATAAAGAAAGACTTTATGACTTTTAACTGAGGGTATAATAATTTAACAAGATAAATTATCTGCATGTAGTTATAAGATGTTATAGCTTTTTTTACTGCTCATCTATGTCCAGTGAGATTGAGATATAGAAAGAAGATCAACATTGAATGAATAAATAGAAAAAATATGTGTAGAACTACTCAAATAACTTTGAAAAAATGAATAAATAAACTAACCTCTAGTCTGAAATTGATAGACTTTTTCATCAACCTTTAAGAAGAATGTATTGAGGTGTAGTTGACTTTAAAACAGTTAGTACTGTTTTTTTTTCAAAAAAAGAAATCATTCTAACATGCATAAGTAGATATTTTTTTATTGGTTGTTTTGCGTAGATTTTTAGTTTGTGTAAATATATGCTAATAGAAAAATTATCAGTTATTTCGTCATTTTTGAGGTGGACATAATATTAGAAATTAATATCAGAAATGAAGCCGGTACTAACCACCAATCAGTCTGCTATTAGACGAGTTATCATTGGTCTAGCATATTTACTTTTCTGATTCTATTATATAATTTCATTCAAAACTTCTATTTGTATTGATCGTAGATCATGAAGGAAGTGTAATAAAACGTTGTTGAAAGTTGACTATCCCAGGTTAAAAAATCCAGTGTCCGGATTTCATCGGATTTTGTCGGAATTCGACGAAAACCGATAGAATCCGACCAGAGCTTAGTCTTATCCAGTCGAATTTTATATCAGAATCTGGGCCACTGGATTCCCAATGACTTTCGATAGAGTTCTGTCGGTTTTAAGACGACGCGACAGAATCCGATGGCTTAGCTTCATCCGAGGATGTCATCCCCAGAAGATCCAACCCAACCAGCGGATCTTATCGGAAATCATCGGATGAAATGCCGGATTGCTCCGGAATCCGATGTCTTCCATAAAAATCCGATGGAATCCGATCTATTTTGTGTCGGATTCTCATGCACAGGATTCCGGTCTAGATTACGTCAGAAAAGATCCGATCGTCGTATTCAAACGAATTTGAAATCCGTCCGACCCAACGAGATTGATCTGGGTTCATTTTGTATTACTTACCAATCTATAATTTTAGAGTGAGCTACATATCCCTTCTTTGCTCTATTCTATGATGTATAATTTTATACCATTTATTCTTGATTAAAATAAAAAGATTAAAAACTGATTTTTTTTTCGAATAACACACATTGAATTAATGTTCTTCATTGTTATTTAGATTTTGAATGAGAATATTTTGCTCGATGAACTGGATCATCAATTGTTTTGCATTTTAACCCATATCTACAAGGCATACGATGATCGACATGTTTATCTTGTGAAGTCGACTTTGCTTCTATTTATATTAACATTCGCATGTGAATAATTTTTCAGTAGTATAATTAGTTCTTACCTTCTGATGTTGATATTGGTATTTTTCCAAAAACTTTTTCTCCATGAGAATATTTTATTCGATGTTCATTCGATTTATCTGTACATTTCTTCTGAAGACGACACGGTACAAGAAAATCAGGTAGATTTGTGTGACGATATTCAGCCCGATGGATAGGATCAGTTAATTTATTACAGTTTTTATCATAACTACATAAAGGAGATGGATGAATGTCATGAGTAAGATGAGGTTCTTTGTTTCGACAAAGTTCAGAAAAACGACATGGATGTGAAAATTTTGAATTGTGTCTTGTTTCTGATCCATCGGTTGTATACTGAAGAAGACAATTGACATTATCAGGACACGGCTTTAAAGAAGAACTATCACCATTATTATCTTCACTAGGTCCTTTAGAATGTGATGGATGAGATACTGTTGGAATACTTTTTTAAAAATCTTTATCGAATGTTGGATGTAAATCCATTTGTTTTTCAAAACAGACTATTAAATTTCGAACAGCTGCTTTTTGAGCACCAGCAGTAAGATGAATGAGCTCTAGTTTTGTTAAATCAAGTTCTGCTTTACTAAATTCACAAGATATCTCTTCATGATTATAGATAGAATTTGAACCCGCTTGACGAAGAATAACTTTACCACTTGAACGATGGATTTCAAGACAATATGTTATAAAATCATCGGTATTACATCCAATATGGAATGTATTTGATTTAGCCTTGTACTGATTTTTACTTACGAATACATGATGTTGAATAGGCTGTCCATAATTTAAATATGGTGTGGGTGTGGGTGTGGGGTGTGGGTGTTGCTAAAGAGAAGATTTACACACAGACCCACACCCACACCCAAAGTTACCATGAAGTCTTTTCTATTAAAAATAAAAGAATGAGAAGTAATTGATTTTGAGATCAGTACTGAGATCGTAGGAAGTTCCAAATCTATATTACTATTGTTCAGTGTCTGTCTGTGCCGGGTCAAAGGTTAAAGGTCACATAAGGCTATAAGGGAAAGATCTCCAGGGTCTTTTTTTGGGGCCCCCCCCCCCCCCCCTAATAGAAGCCCCTCCCATATTAGAAGCCCTCCCCCTATTAGGAGCCCCCTCGAGAGAGGCCGATCTGTCAGACGTATTAGAAGCCCCTACATTTTCAAGGCATTTTAAGAGGTAAAAACCTGTTAAAATCTTATTTATCAGTATCAAAATCCTGAAATCTCCTCGAAAACCTGCTGAACAACTCATAAAAACCTTAAAAACTCCTTAGGACTTTCGAACAATGCTTGTTCTTGCCACCTTTGAAAAATTATGGGACCTAATAGAAGCCCCCTCTAAAATTTATGAACGCTCGCCATAATAGAAGTCCTCGGGGGCTTCTATTATTGGGGGAGGGAGGGGGTTACTTAAGGTCCTCAAGGGCTATCCTATGGGGGTACCCATAGGTCCTCAAGGGCTATCCTATGAAGGTACCCATAGGTCCTGAAGGGCTATAATATGGGGGTACCCATAGGTCATTAAGGGCTATAATATGGGGGTACCCATAGGTCCTCAAGGGCTATCTTATGGGGATACCCATAGGTCCTCAAGGGCCGTCCTATGGGGGTACCCATAGGTCCTCAAGGGCTATCCTATGGGGGTACCCATAGGTCGTTAAGGGCTATAATATGGGGGTACCCATAGGTCGTTAAGGGCTATAATATGGGGGTACCCATAGGTCCTCAAGGGCTATCCTATCGGGGTACTCATAGATTCCCAAGCAGCAGTGTCACATATCCAAAATTTTGGAGATGCATCCACGTCTAGCGCGGGAGATGCGGCATTTACTGCGAGAGATGCGAGTGTGGGTGCGGGGGATGTGCATCTCTAAAGGCGATGATACATCTTCAGTGGAAAATGGCCGCGTCTCCTGAAGGAGATTCTGCGTCTCCCGCGGGAGATGCGGCATCTCCTGCGAGAGATGTGGGCGCATCTCCAAAATTTTGGATATGTAACACTACTCTAAAAATATGTGCGATGTGAGAGTATGAGATCGTAGAGCAACCTATCTATATACATAATATCGAGTGTCTGTATGTATTTTACCGGATGAAAAGTTAAATGTCTGAGGTCATACATTAAAGGACCCACGGAAAAATTCTTCCGAAAAAAACCGCGGTAATCTGAGGTTAACCGCGGTTTTGTTCCACATTTTGAAAAACCGCGAAAGTCAGACCTTTTATACGGTTTTTGGAAGCCGGCGAAAACCGCGGTTTGCAAATACCGCGATGAGCACCGAAAAAACGGCGGTTAGACCTGCAAAAACTCAGCTCGGACCGCGATTTTCTCGGTTCTCACCGCGGTTTTCTCCGGTTTCAAAAACTGCATAAAAGGTCTGACTTTCGCGGTTTATGAAACCGCGGTTTTTTCTTGAAAAATTTTTCCGTGGGGAGAAAACAGCCGTGCAGTATGCACGGGTTCTCGCTAGTTATTACTAATTCCTACTAAATTTCTGGTTGCTGATGTTTGATCTGTGGCAAAAAGAACATATGAAAAATAACAGAAAAGTAGAAATCAGCAATTTTCTTTTATACGTACCTCTCAGGTGAATGTGGTACAGTGGGAAACGAAAGGTTCCATCGATTTCCGTTTGTCAGATTCAAAATCAGTTCCAGCTTTCGCTTTCTGCTCGATGCCCACCATGTCGTGAACATTGAAACAATGTACAGATACGGCTGTCGTTCCCAACAAGAATTCTGACCAGGGATACGTTCAAATATCAGGACAACCGGAAACGGATCAGATACCGTCGTTTTCATAGCTCGGGTTCCTTATCTTCCCATGCATTCTTCTCTTTTCGACCGCTTGCGAATCATTGTTTCGCATATTTTAATCCAATGAAGAGCGTCATTCACATGAGTAAAGAGATCCCAATGCAAAGTTAGCATTTTCGCTTACTTACGTCATTCAAATGCTTACTTTTCTAGTATAACAGTTTCTGCGCTTTCGCAGACGTTTCTCTCTTCCCAAATTGTTGTAAGTTATCTTTCTACCTGCGTTAATCGAAAAACAGGTTCCTTTTCACGAAAGTAGAAAGCCTTCACAAAATTGATTATTTTCTAGATGAAGATGTTCGTTTTTTTACTTTAAAAACGTCCTCCCTTTCCATATAGTCTTCTGTTCCACAATAGCTACAAATCGTTTTCATATAGCCACTGGTGGGATAACAAGCATCTATTGAAATGAGTAGACAGTCTTCTATCAAGCATAAGCGTATTTGATTTTTTGCATGATGGTTATGCTTACTTTTCCTTATAAAAAAGGCTCGGACTTTCTCGCGTAGACTTCTTCGTCATAGAAAATGAAAATCATAATGGATGAATGCTTTTGTCGCAAATAAACATTGCCTAATACTTTGATGTTTTTCCAATACATCGTGGATTTCATGAGAAAATTGATAAATTCTTTTTGCCTGTTGGCAAGTCGAAGTCAGACTAGTGACGGACTGGAAAGTTTTCTAAGAAATCGTGCAGTGCGCTCTTTTTTTTCTGGTGTTCCGATAGTAATATAGTGAAAACATCGGTATGTAACATTTTTTCCAGCGTAGGTATTTGTTCTTAGTCCGTCGCCATTGTGTCAGAGTATGATACATGCTTCAATGAACTTTACATAGCATGACTCAGTTATATGAAAGTAGTTCCGACCTGTTTTCGCGTGAATCTTTTTGTCGTTTCGCTAAGCTGTCTGTGGTTCCTGAAGATTTTCCAGCAACAGTCTGCCAATTCCTTTCTGTTGATGGTGTCGGCGTAGTTTGGTTAAATGGCTCAGTTTGATACGATAGGTTCGCTGTTGGGTTATTCCTTCCAAATTCATAGTTTTTTCTATCCAGTTCCTTCGGAAAATACAGAAGACCCTGTAAGGAACATGTTGGAAATTTTCCAGATACAGGTGATTCCCGTCAGCTAGGGATGCACGGTTCCGGTTTTGACGGGTTCCAAATAACCGAAACCGATGGAACGGGTCGGAACCGAAACTGAAACCAACTAGAACCGGAACCAGTTGACACTATGCACATAGAAATCGAAAAACTCAGGTCGATGATTTCTGAAGCAGTATTCCGTGTATTTCCGGCGGGAAACCACAGGAAAGACACCATGTCCCGTCGAAACTCGCCGGAAAATGCCAGAAATTTGACGTAGGAATCCGGTGATCATGTTCGACTGCCAGTTTGCCAGGCGCTGGGCGGTTTCGGATGGAACTGGATCAACCCAGTCACTGGATTCCTGACTCCAAGTTCCTAGCATTTATGACGTTTTTCTGCAGGAATCGGCTCGTACTTCTCGATCTGGGAAGTAAAAAGTCTAATAATGATCGGTTCTGATCGATTCCGATCTTGGTTCCAATCTGTTCCGGTTTTGAAACCGAAACGGATATTGGTTAAAACCGGAACCGGTGCAACCATACCATCAGCATCGAATGTAGCAGTTAATGAGTCTTAGTTGGATCCGATGAGTTCATGAGTAGTTCTAGCCGGGTCTTAGTGTTGTTCCATCGAGTTTCATTCCGTTTTCTGTACTTTTCGATACGATCTGAGTTGATTTCAGTCGATCTGCGGTTTCGGTATACTTTGAGAAAATCATTGTTTGTAGTAAGATGCCTATCAGGCTTTGAATACTGCTTCAAGTTATTTGTTCATTTTGATCGGGTCCTGCAAGAAATTCAACGAATCCTGAAGGAAACATGTTGGAAAATTGACGAACAAGACTGTCTCCAACCGCAATCAGAGGCGGAGTCAACGATCTGCTTTGGAAACTGTCATCAAGAAAGCATATAGGATAGCTAAAAATGCCACAAATCTCATTCCACTAATGTCAATACTTTGCTGGCTACGATGTCGCTCACTGTACGTGACATCTCAATGACGTAGTTTCAAGATCGTTATCATGCTTAGCATCACGCCCATCCTCACCTTCAGTCATATCTACACTCACTAGCACTCACACACACTGTCCTATATATAGCCTGTGGTTTTCTGTAAATAAAATATTTGTGATGCATGCACATTCATTTGGTGTCATTTACCAATCCATGATTTTAGAATTAGCCACATATTGCTTCTTTGCTTTTTTCATGATGTATCCTTATATATCATTTATTCTTGATTGATTTAGTATGGTAAAAAACTAATTTTCTTTTTGTTCGAATAACAACGTCTCCGATATACAACTATTTGAATAAATTTTTCTGCTTGCTTTCTTATAAATCCAAGACATATTTAACATATTATAAATCGCTCCATGGAGTATATTTGCCTTACTTCATAGTTTATGTATGTATCCTCTTGCGTTCAATGACATTTATTCAAGAAAATAAAATTAGATAACACTTAAATTATATACAATCTTTAGTAAAATTTACTTGTTAAATAATAATTAGAAAATCGATATAAAAATACAATTTATTATTATAAAGGTATATGTTTAGTTTCGTCCAAATTCGATGGTATATCCGACTAAGCTTCTGCTAAAATGTTACCGAGTACTGGAATTTTACAAGATGATGAGAATTTATCAGATAAATAAAGAGATGTTTGTTCGTTATTCAACGATTGTGTCGATGATATTTCCACAGTAAAGATATGTGTAGTAGCTTCAAATGCATAACGATTTTTAATGAATTGAATTTGATGACATTGTCTATGTTTTCTTTGAAATAGTATGCTGCATAAGGAATAAATAACACTACGATAAACGTTGTTTGGTAAGTGATAGAAGTTCACTGAAAATTGTTGTTTCATACGAATAATGTAAATAACTACTACTATAAAATACTACAGTTGACCTCACGAAAGAAATTGTACATGTTGTTATGAAAATCGTTTTCAATAACTCTTGAAGCTTCCATGCTTGAGAATTCGATAGATAGCAAACGTTGACTTTTAAATTAGCTGATCCTAAAAATTTATTGTCTGTACATCAATGTTGTCTTATTCATGAAGTTTGTTTTCATTTGCTCTTTTTTTTTGTTGTCTTCTAAGTAACAACTGAAAATTATCTAGGATAGCACTATCAATGTATGTTTCTCACTTGACAACAGATAAAGTTTCTTTAGTGGAATCAACAACAGTACTGTATAGTAGCATTTGTTTACATTATTCGTATGATAAAAAAAAGACTTCGAACAAACTTCTATCACGAACTAAAAAAAAGGGTAGCTTTTTTAATATTAGACAGTCAGGAAGAATTGTTTCAAATTTATAAATCATACCTATTTTGAATATCTTTGGTGATTCAAGTTCATTGCATGAAGTAACTAGGTTAGTTAGCCAATTTTTTTATAGTACCAAGCTAACAAACCTACTACCTCAAACTTGAGCTCGATCTCTCGTTGTTATTTCTTGTTCCATATGTCATTAAATCAATGTATTTTGTTGGGTGATCGTTCGATGACTTTCCAGTAGAGTATGAACTAGCACTAACTTTATGGTGCTAGTTCCATACCTACGGGTTTAGACAAAGACGACGAATGAATGAAATTATGTATAGAAAAGAGAGAGAAGAAGAAAAAAAAAAGTGAGTCCGACATAAGGTTTATTGATCACTCATAATGATTATACAAACTGTATGTGTGCTCGAATCAAGCCGTCTATTTATAAATCGAATAGAGAAAATATGAATCAGCTGGTGGTTGGTGAGGCAAAATTATTCAATCAACGAATAGATCATCGAGATGAAAACTGACATTCATCTGTATGCAAAAGATTCTCTTCTTACAACTTGAAATGATTTACAAGACAGATTACTAAAAATAAAAGACAGAAATAACTCTTTCTTTCTCTTATAAATATAAATATATATCGTGAGATACAAAAGTACACCGATGTACGATGATACTTGTGAATAGAGAAATGTATACAAAAGAAAACGGTGTCCCATTAGCAAACATTGATTCCTGTAATATAATAAAAAGAAAATAAGATATGTGCAAATGGTCGCTTTTTGTTTCACTATATACAAAGAAACAAATGATGATATTAAGAGTTTGTCCCATATTTCTGTCTTTCTCTGATAAAAAAAGGACGGTAATGCTACGTAATGTTTGTATTTCTTTTTTTTTTCTTCAGACAGGAAATCCACATCTGAAAAGTATACACAGATATTTCTCATATGATTTGCTTTCGTGGATGATAGAAAAACGAGGGGAAAACAATACGGATCTTGAAAACTTATTAATTGAAGTTTCTAAATAAAATTAGATTGTCTATTTTCATAAAATGTACATCTACAATGAAGCATAATTGTATTTTATATGGGTATAACATTGCAAAATGTGACCATAAAGAAATCCATACTATTGATACTTTTATTTTTATATTAAGTCATAAAGTAATTGTTTTTGATGGAATGTAGAGTATTTTCTATAGTGACTTTTCTGAACAATAATAATGGAACGAAGGAAATCTTCGAACTGATTCCGAGCTTTCAACTTCATCGTTTGCCTGTAAGTAGGTCTCTATGGAATTAAGAAACTTCTAAAAGGGCTCTTGCTTATTGATTGTCGTTGTCGAAATGTGGTACGCAGTACATAACGAAAAACAAAGGCGTTCTTTGATTCTTATTTCAACTTATCATTTATCTATTATCCTAATAATACTAGTTTGATCTTAACTAACATATGAGATTAGAATAGTATTATTAAATTAATATCATTCGTTTATTTCGAAGAGATAAGCTCTGAAAATTTTCACTTTTGTCAAACCTCAATTCGATTTTGGTTTATTTTTAAACCGTGAAGAATCGGGCTGAATTCCTGGTTGGATCTGCTGTTTATGGTATCGAAAATTGTTAAATTTTCGTCACTTCTACATGAGTTGATTATACTATTAAGTTGTCCTTCCATCATTTCTGGCTTACTTCTTTTATCGTTTTTCTTATGATGAGAAAAATCTGTTAGAGATCAGATGTTTTTCACTATTATAGTTTTGAAATTTCATAATTCAATCTAGTTAAACATGTAAATTCTTTATTTCACATATTTTTAATTTCTAGCTATCAAGATGCTGTATGTAAAAAACAAGTATAAAAAAAATGAAAAAGAAAACAAACAAACATCACTTTTTTTTTTTGTCAAAGCATTCACTATATTTCAGAAACGAGAGTTCATAAGTACGAACGCTTTTAAATTTTTGTCAATCTTACTAAGGTCTTTATTGATAGCCAAAAGATGATGTGGAATGTAGAGAATCAGTTGAGTAATGACTCTCCTAAAACTATTGTCGAGAATAATCGTTCATTAGTATCTTTCTATACAGAAAGAATTTTTATAAAACATTCCTATATTTTTAATAATATGTGTTCGTCCAATAAAATTAGTATGAACAATTAACAATATTTCATAAATAAAATATTCGATGCATGTCAACTTATTAAAATGATTATTATTTTAAGTTTTTAAAAATAGTTTATTTATGGTGATATTCAGACTGTTAGCATATAATATATTTACGATCTGAATGCCATAGAATTTCATCTAAAAGGTATTGTGCAACTGTCTATATAGAATAATACGAGTTGTTATCAACGACTATTCCAGTACTTTTGTTCTTGATGAAGTTGTTAAAGGTACAGGATATGTAGGACAGACACATGTGCAACTATTGGCGAAGCTGTTTACTAGAGTACAACCCACACAGATGTTTGTGACTTGAGTAGTCATAGAGGAAGTTGATATACTCGAACATCCAACACTGATTCGAGCTCCATCAACGACAGTTCCTAGAACAAAAGATGTAAAAAAATTTTATTGAACATTTTCTGAGACAAATATATTTTATACATAATCAGAAACACTTTCACTTGTTCTGTTAGCTCTATTGAAGTTAGAAATATATAAAGACTTACCATTTTGGAATCGAACTCGTGCTTGCACAAAACCTGTAGCTGGGTCACGAACATACAATAGAGGACGATCATAACGACCACCGGATAGTGATCGAAGTTTTAATCCTGTAGAACATTCACCGGAACACTTGGCTACAGAACCCAATGTTACCGGTGTAGTGGTCTCACATGTATCACCATTCAAAAAACCAACTGAAGCTTGTAAAGATAAAATATGTGCATTAGCACGTTGTTTCATAATTTGTGTTTCTTCTTGAATACGTGTTTGTTCGTATGTATCTGTTCGATTTTTAATAATACGTATGAGATTTGCTTTGACATCGGGATCTTCTACAATTTCATACCAAGGAGTAAATTGTTCAATTTTTAATAGAGCAGGATTGGCACCTAAACTAGATTGCCATGCTGTAACATTAGATAAAGACGGATTACCACCAAGTTTATGATCGATAGATATTTTACGACGTTCAGCATAAAAACTATTTCCTAAAGTTTCAGCAAGAATATCTTGTTTAAGATATTGATCAAGATTTTCAGGTGTTATAGCACCATTAAAAGAAAAGACACAATCTTTAAATAAAACTTGTTGTTCATGCATACCTCCTAAAAACTAAATTATTCATTCAATAACCATGAAAACGAAAATCTGAAATTATATTATATTATTGAAGAGCTTACCGACAAGGGATTTCAATACGATATGCGTACCCCAATTTTGAAGAAAACTCTCATATATCGTTTCATTATAAACTTTTGGTAATGCATCAACGGCATTTTTTGCATAGACGTTTAATTTCAATACTTCAACTTTTAGTCGATATAAAGCATATGGTTTTTGTGTAATTGCAATAGCTTGATTATCAGCAAAAAAACGTGCTTGAATATCTAAAATAGATTTTGAATGACCTAATTCACCACCTAACCAATCGCCTCTTGTTTGTCCATATTTCCAATGATTTTCAAGTTCACTAGCAGTAAGAAAAGTACGAGCGACAGGTTCATTGGCATTTTGCTCTACTGGTAAAACAGATATTTCTCTTGGATACCAATATATTTCATTAGTTAAAGGATCTTGCCAATATGTAGTATTATCATGAGTAAAATCAATAGGAGGCAGAAGTAAAGTACCTTTTATAATATCAATAGTCATACCAACACCAACAGGTAGCTAGAACAAGTAAAAAAACACATACATAAACAGTTTGAATTATTGAAATTAAAGCCATATAAAGCTCAAATAACTTACACGTCGATAGACAGGTATGAAATTTGCTTTGCCTGTTGCACCTGCACATATTGATCCGTTGTATCCGACATATGGACAAAGAGCTTCTCGAATATCTGCATCATTATTTTGTGATAAATTTGTCGCGTTAGAGACTTCTCGTCGAACTCGATTACGGCTACATTTAGTGGGTGGTGGACCTCGAACTGATTCAAGTTGATTAATATATTTTTCGTTTTCAAGTTCTGCTTTTTCACTAATATATTCAATAGCTGCTTGAAGTGCTGATCTTTGGTTGCCTTCTGGTAGTAATTCATATAGTGGAACAAGTCGATAAGATATTGGTTTTGGATTATTTTTGACTGTTGGAGCCCATTCTTCCCATTTTTCAGGTTCAATAGATTCTGTTCCACCAAGTAATTGTGATGAGTAACTAGAAAATTGTTTAAAACGTTCATCCACTTTACGCTGATGTTCTTGAGTTGTAGAAGCGTCGTCAACAAAATCAAGAAAACTTCCTGTAACTTGTTCAGTAATCCACGTTTCTGTTTGTTCATATGTTAAACATTTGTCAAACCAAGTTTCTGCCCAAACTTGACCTCCCATTTGTGATGCAACGACTACATGTGTCCCAAAAGAAGTAATAAACGTTTCCCAAACACTAATATTCTTTGAATCAAACGCCAAAGGAAGACTAGCAAATAATGTTGTAGCAAGAGGATTTAATTTTGGATAGGGAAAAATTGATACAGAGAGTGTATACCAACCAATTTGTTTTAAACGTAATGCTAAATTGTAATAATCTTGATAGAACCGTCGATATAACTCTCTTGTACTTCTTTCAACACGTTTTCGACTCAGAAAACCGTGTTGTTCCCATACTTCAGCTCGCGTCATATATCGATAATAATCTTCTACAGATGTTACTGTCACTGTTGCGTCCTTAAATCATTCTAATTATCGAACATTATCATGTGTACATATTTACTTACCATAGCTAATGATTCTGGTGTATTCGTAGCAAAAAATCCATTTGGTAATGAATAAGAAAGACTTTGATTATACGGATCTGTCCAAAGTTCATTCTGACTTGAATTGGATATATCTAAAATGCAGAAACGACTTTGTAGCGTAAGCAAATCATATCCACATCCGACCACATCAAGACCAAATATAGGTCTAATTGATCTGGGTGCTGATGAATAAAATCGTGTTATTTTTTTTCGCGAATTAAGTTGAGCTAATGTTGGTAGAAAACCATTATTAAGATAAAAATCAATAGTTCGACGAAGATGTTCTTGTACTTGGTTGTTACTGCTGATAAGATCAGCAATATGAGATAGAGTACGATTGATAATAATAGATTTTTCACCTGCATTATTTATCCATGTTCTAAAAATCAATAGAACATGTAAGTAATCAATAAATAAAAAAATCATAATTTACTGTAACATCGATTGATTATTAACAGTGACTAGGGATGGTTGAAAAGTAGATATTGTATAAGAATTTTTCTTGAATTTTTCGGTAACTTTTTCATATATTTCTTCAGTTTGACTTTCAGTGTGAAAGGTAAATTCTTCATGTTTTGCTGTAAGCGAAATTTGTTGAGTCATTTCTTCAAATGTTGCATTTTTATGATAACTTTCTCTAACAAATGTATATAAATGAGCTATACCACCTACAATCACATTAGATACATAATAAGTTCCATAATTTTGAATAAAATCATTATATAATTGTTGATGAACTTCAGAATTTGGATTAGCAGCTTGAGAAATCAATAGATTAACACTGGCGTTAAACATTGGATCAAATCTAAAACAAAATTGAATAGAATTTTGATAAGAATAAATGTTTACTTTAAAAGAGACGACGATGCAAGTTGAAGCGAATAATGATTCCACGAAATTGTTGATGTTCCAACAGCTTGTGAATATTTAGTTATTGCTTCAAAGACCCGTTTTAACATTTCATGATATTCAACACTGAATGATGGACTATTCAGTTCTGGAATTCCAACATCAAATGTATTTGTCTGAAAATAACTGAAAACAGAAAATCAAATATTTCTAATATAAAACTTATGTTGAAAAACAAAATCAAAAAACAATACCTTTTATAAAATTCTGGAAAAGTATAAGATATTGATTGACACTTATTTTCTTTACGAGTACTTATATCTTTCACTTGTACAAATAAAGGTATAGTATATTGATATTCTTGATTCAATGCTTTAAGTATAAATGAAGTATTACTTTTTTCATTTAAATCAAATATACGAAATCTTGAACGTTGTTCAATTGCTGAAAGCATTTTAACTCCATCGTATCCTGATTGAAGATCATTGATACCAGGCAAAAATCCAGTCTCTTGTGTTGTGGAATAAATGAAGAAAGAAGAAATAAAAATGAAATATCCTATAAACATCTAAAATAAAAGATAAATAATTATGAAGAGTTATATTCTATAATTCTAAAATGAAACTGTTTGACAATAAGCATATTCATATGGATACAAAAGATCACATAATGTACTTTGCGGATGAAGACTGTGTGTAGCACAATATTTTCGATCTGCTGACGCGATTATTTGAAAATTAAAGACATTGATGCAATTTGTAGCTAAAGTTCTTCTTAAGTGAATACCTTGTACATATGTTTCATTGATGTATCGTCCAGTATATGTCTCTGATATCGTGCTATTATCGCATGTTACAAAAAGTTGGTAACCATCTTGTCGAATATGAACTTGACATCCAGATTCATCTAATGGTTGTACAGTACCAGTCAGATAATAACGAGGTATCCAGTTGTTTGATTCGACAGAACAATTTTGATTATTGCTTGAAAAATAAAGATTTGGTGATTTGCAATATTCGAGACGAGGACAAGACTTATCACAAACATAGAATGATCGATAATCATCAGGATTTGTATAGATACCAGTAGAATTTGGACAATCAAAAGCATTTGTTCTAATAATAAAACATAATAAAACTAGAATAATAGTATTCTTCATTTGTTTTACACAATCAAATTAGTAAATTTCAAAATGATCTACAATAAAACGAGCTTATTAAATGAATTATTTAGAAAATGAATTTTTGTTATTTTTTTTTTTGAAGGAAGTTTATCAGAATAAGAATTTAATATTTCTTACAATAATTTCCTGAATAATTTTCAGGAAAATCACATATTGAACTAAGTGGATGAAAAGTTTCGTAGTAACAATATTCTCTATTACCGTTTGCTACAACACGAGCATCGAATACCGTAATACAATGATTTAATAATCGATGTACTGTTTGAATTCCAATCGCATGTGTTTCATTAATATACCGTGCAATAACTGTATTATGTGTTGTACTTGTCTCATGTGAAATAGATAAACTGTATCCTTGTTGTTGAATAAATACATCGGCATTTTCAGTAGACGTAAATTGACCTGATAAATCATAACGTGTTTGCCAATTTGGTGGCTCTGGAACACATGATTGATTAGTTCGTGTGAAATAAATTGTTGGTGATACACAATATTCAATCCTATAGCAGTAGTTTGAACAAACATAATAAGATCGATAATCATCGGGATTTACATAGGTGCCATTTGAACTTGGACACAAAAAAGCATTATTTGCACGAATAATAAATGCCAATAGAAATAAACCAGCATACATATTGAGAAACCAATGCTTTCATAATGTTAAACTGGACTCTATTTATACGACATGATTGCTACCTCATTCTTAAACACGTTATGTGTCCTAGGATAATTTATTCATTCATTAATATTATTGCTGAATATTTTCGCTTGAATAATTTTAAAACGACGAAAAAAACATGTATTACTTCCTTTCATGAATCATTAAAGTGGTCAAATAAAGTAATGAATTTTGAGTTCGCTAAAAACTTCATATATGTAATCACATATAATGTATGTGGAAAAACATAATTTTATGCAAACTATTTCTGGTCATACTCAAATATAAAAAAATCCTTTTGAGTATGTTTTTCATCTGCCGTTTTTGCATAAATATTATACATGAAAATAACGAAAGAACTGATCTGTTAACAGATATTTTATGCAATTATGAAAAAAGGTATGCATGACTAATCAATATTTTCTTGGAAAGATTTGATGATGAATAATAAACTTGTCTGCAAGAAAATTTTGCACTCTATTAATCCTCTTCCGTCTTCCACAAAGTCCATTTTCACGAAAGTTAAAAAATGATGTTTTTTTAATATAAACATATAGAAGTGTCATCTACAGCTTCTAATTTAAAAATGCATGAAAACACTCAGCAAGATTTATATATTATGTTCATGTTCAACTCGTTTTCAATATGCGTTGTTCTACAAAACGGTAAGTACTTTAATTTGATAGCATAGTATCTGCTTCCTTAGATAAGGACAAAGGGTTCCTGAAGCAAGCTGAATTCATAGAGATACGATAGTCTATTGAAAAAAAAATGAGTAATACTTTTTTTAGAATATTGAAGATTTTAGTTTCGATGACGACAAAAAGATGCAAATTAAAATATCTTTTATCTTATTCAAAGCAATACAGTGTTCTCGTTCAAATATAAGTACTGACAGATTCATAGTTGAAATCAGATTGTAAAAACAAATTATATACGTAAAAAGTCCATCATAAACTCTTGTCTCTGGAAAACTCTTGAAAAATAACATTTGAAAATCTAATAAAATTTTATTGATTTTCTTTTTATATGCTTAATGTTTGAGTTACGTTTTATGGAAACATCATTCTTAGTGTCAAAAATTGGTTTCATAGACGAGGATGGACGATCTTTATAAGTCTAAACTTATTCATGTTAAATTATAGAGAACTGATTTTTTTTTATTGTTGGAATCATACAGTATGATTGCATATAAGAATTCGATGCAAATTTGTCAAATTTTCTTTTTATATATTCCATAAAACTTGTGAAATGTCCTATTAGTTATTTATGTTACATAGAAATAAACAAAATGAATAAGACTTTGAGAAGTTGGAATTATCCAAACAAAAGATTTATTCTAGATCAATCAATATATATGACAAAAATTTGAACAGAATCATTTATTCAATTTTAATCCATCGTCGTGTTGAACGCCAACCACTTTCACGAGATGAATCTTCTTTTTCCCATCTAATATATTTCTGGTTCCAACCAAGACAACCTCGATAATGATCTAATGGACGACCTGTTTCTTTTGGATGTACAATAATCATATTTATTATACGACCATCATAACTTGCTAATGCTTTACTATCATTAGTGTTGGAATAACCAACTAATTGACCCATTTCAATACAAAATTTCATGCGATAACGATGATAAGGATAATCTTCCCACAAACCACAAAAAGCTATTAACTGTTCTTCATACTTGTCCATATCACGTAACTAAAATATTAATAAAGAAATAATTAAATCTTTATGAAAGCTCAACAAATTTTATTGTTTTCATTATTTGAAGAAAAATAAACGATTACTGATACTTACACATTGTTCAAGAATATCAATTCGTTGAGCAACTGGTTGTTGTTGAATTTGCTTATCCTTGGACACGTGAACTGGTTGAGATGGTGATTGTTCTTTTTTCTTCATTTTTGAATCATGAGTCGATGGATTATCTGAAACTGTAGTAGTTTCATCAAGTAAATTCGATTGAGTAAATGTACAATTGAATTGTAGAAAATAGTCATCATGCCACATCTTGACTTGAACAGAAATATTTTGTATACGTATATGACCGTGTGAACTGATGTATTCGCCCACTATATATATCTGCATAAAAGCAGACGAACAACATATGAAATTAGACAACCTGATTGGTTGTTGTAAGTCGACATTTTGTTGCCGTCTATTCAATGCTTGACTTGTTTTTGAAAATGAAAATAGGCAGTAAACAACAAAGCAGACGCTACGGACTATAACAAAATATGAAAGAGCTCAGCTGAAAATGCTCAACTGTATTTGCTTTCATTTTCACGAATTGATTATAAATAAAACAGATGGCTGATTTAATAATATAGTTTTCCGCAAAAGTGTGTAACAAACAACGAATATGATATATCAAATTATTATTTACATGAAAACATAATATAAAAAATCAAAATGACAAGAAAAATGAACCGAAAAAAGTTTTCTAAAGTTTTAATTAACATTTCAAGTGGTTGCTTCTTTTATTTTGCTCTATATTTGTGATATTAGGTTATTAAAATATCACACTTATTTTAATCATATATTCTTTATTCTCATACAATTGTTTACGATTGATCATTATCTGATATAACTAATATAAGTTCTTTGAATAAAATATTTTATATAATGATTTAATATATATATAGTATGAAGAAAGGAAAGGTGTTTAATTAATAGTTGCTGAATAAATCGATTTTTGCTAGAGTTTTCTCTTTTGTAGCTTAACATATTAGATTCATTATTTTCCTTTATTGATATTTTAAACTAATAATAAACATGTAGCGTTGTATTTTTTTTAGATGAGTTTCCATAATCAGACTAGATGTCATCTTTCTTTTTCGATTTAAATGTGATCAAATGATACAACTAATAATGTTTCTTCAACATGCAGGCAGAAAAAATCTGTTAGTTTGCTTTGTTTCAAATAGAATTTCGTATTCAATGTGACTACAATTAATAGGAGGTATCAACAAAGTACATCTAACTGCAACTATGCATTTCTTTTAGCTACATAAAATAAACATAAACTATGTTGAGACATATTATTGATGACACAAATCAACAGTTAAGATCACCTTTATAAGCTTAAACAGAGCAAAGATCAACAAAATGAATGTTATATATGCATAATTATGCAAACTATTCAAAGTCCTTTGTTGTGAAAATGAAGAAAAATGTTAAGAGAATATTTTCATAAGCAATATGCTTTTACATGTTTTCTTTTTTCCACTCATAATTGATGAAAAGACAGTAGATCAAGATAAAAAAAAAATAATTCGAGGAATAGCAGAAACGAAATTCTACGTTTTCTTATCAAAATAATAATTAATACAGTATGCCAGAGAGATTCAAACAAACCATTGAGCTTGCCGCAAACCATGCCAAGATTTCAAATAACTTGTCGGACTATCATATTTTTTTTCCTAAATTTTCGATAAAAAAATTGATTTTTGCAGCTGCAAGATGAGAAATAAGTTTTTTTATTTTCTAGATTTGATATATTCATCATTTATTGTAGATTCCTATTACATTATTCATTGTGGATGCAGTTTTTCATTGCACCTATACTGAAAAAAAAATAACGATTCCATCCTCAAAAGTCTAGACGACTTTTTTAAAATAAATACCATGCAAAATTTCACACCACTATATAGCTTGTAATGAAATGAAACTTTTTACAATGAATTTTAGGACGTTGTAATGTGTTTTTTTCAAGTCCTGCTTATAATCTAGATATCTCGATATTCATAGCGTGTTTTGTAATATTTACAAAATCTCATTATGAAAATGATTGAGATGCTCTAACATGATCTATTTCGCACATGGGAATCGCTTACTTTGAACTGTATTTAATTGACATGCAACGAAATTATATGCTTTAGTGAGCTTATAATGATTTGTTTGCTCTTCGTATGAGTTCTCGTATGTAAAAGTAGTTTTTTCTTCAATTGACGATATGAAACGTCTTATGAATATAATCATGAAAGAATAATATAAAATAAAAGATGCCATTGAAGATAGGGATGAATATATAATTTTTCTTGGTTTTATTTATTTCTCTTTCGTAACAAACAAGAAGCTTAAATGATAATTAACAAAAATATTTGCTTACCCCGAAAGTACTATTCTTAAAATAGAACAATGAACTCTAAACCGGGAAGAGCCTTCGACAAAAATAGAAACAATTTTCTTTGAAAAATTCAGATAGAAGAATTGAACTGTAGACACAGATTAGTTCTGATCAAAATAACTGTTTGAACAGTTGATCAGATTGCAATGTTTTTCGGAACCATTCTACCCTAGTGAGTGCAAGATTAATTACTTCAATGAAGCATGTAACCGTATAGATACTTGTTCAACAAAGATAAGTTGTTGTCGGACAGCTAAAATACAGTGTGATATTAAATCACATTGATCAAAAATGAAACCATGTTCAAATGCCTAGTTGAATCTTGATATTTTTGAAATACAAAAAAAATAAAGAAGTTTATACTATGTGTTCAGGAGTATTCAAAATTGCCATATAAGAAAACCTGAAATTTTACTTTATCCCACGAAAATTTAAAATTTTCCTAGATTCTGATTTCTTCTGAATTTAACATTGTATTAAAACAAAAAAAAACTTATTGATTCAAAAAATGTACGTACGACTGATATTTTAATGTATTTATATATCTATATGGGTCGTTGTAAGATGAAAGAAAAAAATTTCAACTTCATTTGTGATTACTTTCGATTACATTGTATATTATTTTAGACATTGTAATATCATAGTGTAAAATACAAGGAACTAATAAAAAAAAACACAAGACTTTTCTTCTAAACGTCAAATTCTTTGTTTTTAGATGAATGTTCATCATACGCAATTTCAAAATAGAAGTAGTGTTAAGCTCTATATCACTTTTGTTTTGAGAAAATATTACTAAAAGTAACTCGTTTAAAACTCTTCATGAATGACGACATTTT